CTGAGACCTATTCACCAGTAACTTGAAATCCTTAATTTCTAAATGTATAAAAGCTAGAAAAAGCAGCTTTGCTGGTTTTTTCCTTTCTTTCTCTTTTTGCCTTTGAGAGTTTCATCTGACTCACTTCTCCCTGCCACCTCTCTCAGATCATTTCAGTGAGATGTGACAAAGAATCTGCTGTTAGAGTCCTCAAAGAACCATCCTGGGCTCCTGTCTCTCTACACCTGCCCTGATGCAGCCAGATGAGATCAGTGCAACAGGAAAAATAATGGATAACTATTTCTTCCCACTGGAGTGGTGAGGAAAGAGATCCTGGGAACTGGTGCAGATAGGAAAGCCAGTGATGATGAGGAGGAGGATGATTAACTATATATTTACTCTGACTCACCTCAGACACTCAGACACCCACCTCTCCAGTTGGAGGATAAGGCAAATGGAGACCAGTGATTTCTTTCTGCTGTGTTCTTTGAGAACAGGGCTCCTCACTCAGAGAAACACAGCAGCAAAAGCCTTGGGGGACAGAGTCAGAGGGGCTGCATACTACAGCACTAAGAAGCAAGAAGCTTTAATTAAACTTGCTTTTAGACTCATGGTCTTAGGCAGCTTGGGGATTAGCCAAGTTCTCTTGTTGCCTACCCAAAATATGCAGGAGAGAGGACGAAGGGGGAAAGAAAATGTAGTCTAAAAACAGGACAAAGAGTCAGTTTAATACAAACATTATAAATATAATATGAACTAAAAGCAGGGCAAGGCCAAATGGTTTGGCAGAAATTCAAGGCATCCAAGCTTGCAAAGAAAACATATGGAAAATGTGTTCAAATGCATAAATGAGTGCTAGCGAGCTTCAGAGGCCTAGGTGTGAGCATCCATGCAAGGACTCCAAAATGACCATCTAGAAAATGCAGCTCTCTCACGTACTTACTCCATCTCCCCAAGCAATAATATCTTCCTACTACTACTTGTTTTCAGATACAGTCTACAGGACATGTAATTGGTCTACAAAGTTCTCTGCCCAGAGAATGTTTGCTCCCCACCAGGCACACGAAGTCAGGATACACCAGCCCTGCATGGATTAGCAGGGATCTGAGCCTATGTAACACCTGCGTTATCTGTATATCTGGCATCTCCCAAGAGGCAGGAAACTTGCTAATCCTCTGCAGTTACTCTGCCCGTCCTTTCTGCCAGCCTCATAGACCACCCTCACCATAAAGATGGCCATGACAATATGCCCACCCACATCCTCCAACCCCTCCAGCATTCCTGTTGCTGCGGGCAGGAGATAAACCCCCAGATAACACCAGAGGATGTCCTCAGCTTATGTCAGTGGTGGTCATTCTCTGAAAGTCGATGGAGCTATCATTCATACCACCTGGGGTTTTGGCCTTCTAGGTTATTTTCTGCTCTATGGTACCCACACAATGCAATGACATGCAAAGGTGCCTGATCTAGCTGGCACATCAGTCAGGAATACAGCAATGTTAAAGCAGTACAATTTTTTGTCCCAGATAAACTCTATCTGTCTCCTCACCATGCCCTGAGAAGCAATGCTAAATAATTTTATTATGGTCATAATTCTATGCAGTTACATTTAACCCATCCCAGAGCTGTCATCCTGCTCTAGGTATGACTTGCCTATCCCTGCATGGAGTTGCACTGTGAAGCATAGACCTCCTTTTCCCACTTTGTGAAAACTCCTACATCCCACAGAAGCTCACCCCAACCACCCAAGTGTAAAAGCAGCCCCTTCCTCCATTACTCATGGAAGGACACAGTATTCTTGTCCCAGAGCTCAGTACTTTCTCACCGAAACCAAGGCTTGCTGTAGGCTTGAAGAGAAAGAGGCTGTTTCTTTCCACACATCGTCACCTTCAATAAATCAATCAGATGCCCTTCAAGCACTTTTAAAACCCTGCTTTTTTTTTTTTTTCATTTAAACTTTTTAAGCCCTTACTTAAGGAGCAGAGAAGGACCTTGAGCATTTGCAATGCAGGTTTTTGTTTCAGCTTTCTCTCTTACCTGATTCCCCAGACAAGGTGTTACTCACATCCTGTCAGAGAAGTGCAGCAGCTGCCCACGCTGGCATGTAGCCCTAAGGAGATCGCAGTCGGAAAGACTGCTGACCCTAAGGGAAGCCTGTTATTTCTGCCTCTCACCTTTCCAATGAGATGTTTGAACTAGCTGACCCAAAGGTGAGGGGAGGTAAGTGCCACTAGCTGCAAATCTGTGCTCCTTGCAAGAAGGACACCACTCCTCCTTTTCTATGGGCTCCTCTGGCTGATTGCTCACCAGCTTATGTGAATAGGCAGGATCCTTCCCCTGGGTTGCATGCAACAGAACACTTTCTCTCTTAACACGCAGGGGTTCAACACAGTTTGATAAATCCTCCTGTCTGTTAGCAAGTGGCATGCTTGACCTGACGTACCTAAACTAATGTTTCCTACATGTCTTGCTCCAGTGTATCATATCTGACTCTTAAAATTTCTCACACTACAATTCACTCACAATGTGATTTTTCAAACTGAACACACCATCAAGACAAAAATTATTCCGGTTGTAAACTAATTACTACATGCTCTGTGACTGTTGCTATTTTTATATGAACTCTGGGAACCACTGATGTAAACCCCAGAACATAATCTTTCCTATGTAAGAAAATGGTAAAATCCTAGTTCTGTTGAAATCAGTAACAAAGCTCACACTTATTTCCTTGAATCTGGAATTTCCCCCCAAGGTTCTTGACCTTCTGATTTAGAAGAATCTTTTGCCTGTGAAGCAACAGTAATCTGCTTGCAAAGCTACCTTCTGGAGCTTGCATACCAACAGCTTTAGTACATCAATGGTAACTCATGCATTTCCCAAGCAGCATTAGAGCAAAACTACCATGACACAGGTCACTTTCACAGGAACTATTAGAAGTCAAATCTGTTCAGAAAAAAATATAGTTTCCCACAAAAAAAAAAAAAAAAAAAAAGGTAATTGTTTTGAAAAAGAGAAGGGAGTAGAGATTCTCCTTTTGCACTGCAGATGAGAGGAAAGTTACAACTTTTTCCAGTTGAAAACAACTGCTATGTCTGGAAGAGTTTGTTTCCTGCACTCATTTTCCTTTTGAACCCATTGATGAAACATTAGGAGCTGTCTGCTAAATTTTTCAAGAGCTAAGTAGTATCATTACAATTGTATTTAATATTAACAAAGAGAAATATGTGCATTTACTGTTCTACCCATGTATTATGTTGTTTTTACTCTGATATACAAATGAAATGCTTACCTGGTGGGAAATATGGGGGTACTGTAGTTTTGTTTCTGCTCTCTTTACTCTTTCAATCGCTTCTGGAGAGATACAATTTGTCGACGAATTGCAAGGACATTGGTTTTGTCCAGTGATTCTAGTTCATTTACCAGTATAGTCAGATTTCTGATCTAGAGAAATAAAAAAATAAAACCCAAGTTAAAATTTCTGTCGGCTTTATTTTACAGATATTTGCAGGCAGGGTTGATCAAGATGCTACAGAACAGGTTTTAAGAAATATCCCTCAGAGTAGACCTTGTCCTGCTAGCCTGAAGTTAACATTTCCAGCAGAGGTATGGGACCACAAGGAAATGTTTTAACACTTAGTTGTATACCATAATGCATAAATATAGTGTTATTTTATACATAGTACAAGAATATCTAGTAAGACTTAGGCAAGTACTAGCTATTATATATTAAAAGTACTTATTCCAGCCTTACAAAAGTATCCAGAAATTTTATTTGCAGAGATAAATAATGTCCTCAATCACCTACTTGATGATCTAGAGGACAATGGGGAAATTTATATTTCACTTTCCATCTGAAGTAATTATTCTCTCTAGGTGAGTGATTAATTATCATTTTGAAAAGGTGATTTATAGTCTGCTGGGAAGGTGATAGTCTTTCCCACTTCTTGATTTCATATTGATTAGGCCACTGCCCTAGCAACCAGAAGCTAATTTTTTAATTATCTAAGTTAAAGCACAGAGGCTTTCAAGTATGGGGGTCTACAAATTAATATTTATTATAATAATTTAATCATCTTATGTGCCTAACGCTATGCAAAACTGTAAACTTTCAGGCAGATAGTTGGCAAAAATAAAGAGGTCCCCAGTTTGGGGGGTTTTTTGAGGTTTTTTTGCTTTTCTATGCTCTATAGCAAGGAAAAATGTGTTAATACTTTTAAGGTCAAGCTTTCTTTTAATTTATGCTGATGAAATGCTAAAATAATTCCACTGGCTGCAGTAGAGACAGGCTACATTTCCTCAACCTAAACACTAAAGAGAGAATAGACTATCCGTATATTTGACCCCTCTGTGGCTAATTAAGACTTTGGCAATACCTCCAAATATATTTCCTCAACGATGACATTGCTTCCAACAAGGCTGGACTTCAGCTGAGTGACCAGCCTATCTAGGTCACTGATTTCCACTTTCAGTAACTGGAAGTCCAGTTCTGTGTAAGATACACTGCTCTTCTCCATGTGTTCCACCTTGATGGTTAGATTAAGGATTTGCTGCTGATACAGTTCAATCTTTTTTGAGTACTCTCTAACCTTAAAGAAAAGAAAAAAAAAAAAAAAAAAAAAAGGTACATATTCAAGTCCAGGTTAGCAAATAAAACAAACCTGTTTGACATCTTTATTATATTTCTGAGTAACCCATGCATAAGTCCCACATACTTGACATATATATTGTTCACATAAACTACACAAATGAAATTCTCATCACAACCATAAAAAATGTGAAATTCAACCCTCATTTATTGTTGGCAGTTCCACAAAGTCCCCGCAAGAATGCCTGGGGATAAATGAAGGCAGAATTTTACTCGCAGTCTTCCTTTTTTTTAATTCTTTGCCAATATCGTCTCTGTGAGCTAATTTTATGCTCAGTGTGCCAAGAACTTACATTGGTGAAAATTTTATTAGGAAATCTGCAGTGTATTATCTCATAAAAGCAACCCAAGGAGGCTGAAAAATGCAATAAAGGATTACCAAGTTTTTCAACTTCATTTCCTATTAACTCTGAATCCAAATGGGATTTTACCCTGTGTACATTTGAATTGTGTCAAAAGTTGGCAGAACTGGTTTGGGGTTTGTTTTTGGGCAGGGAGAGAATGTTTAAACACAGTGTTAAAAATCAAATCTGGTTCAAACAAAAGTGTAAGATTTATTGCAGGCTTTAACTAAAGTAATTTACATAGCAGCCTTTTCAGCCTTTGAACCATTAAACAGTTGTCTGGATAAATATATTTTCACACTTGTATCTGCAAAGGTAAAGGTCACAGCACAAGCAATGTGATGAAGAATGTTAAGAATATTATATGGACTTGGAACATTCTTTGGAAAATGTTAGCTCCTCGAAATTTAACACTTTGGGAAAGTTATATAATTTCTCTCCTATATGCTTCATAAAATTCATGTCTGTTTTCCCTTAAATCACCATAATTATAACACAAAATGTAAGAAGTAGGAATAAATATAATTAGTTTTTTTGCACCAGTAACTCTGTATCTATACTCTCAGATGGTATTCGTTGTGTAAGTCCATCTCTCTACAGCACTATGATTTCCATAACTATTACTTGTTTGACTGAAAGATTTTTAGCCTACATCATCTCAACCATTCTTGCATTATCTTAACATAAAATGAAAGTCAGTATTTTTCCCCATTGGCTCTGGAATGGCCACTAAAATCCTGTCATGGTGTGAAGACCATGTTCTCCTTTTCCAGCAAGCAGCCTCTGGGATGGGGACCCCAACAAACACACCAAATAATTCCTTTCAATTTTGATAGAAACCCTTGTGTACCAAAGAGGAGGTGTAGGATCTTATGGCATGGAAATTCACGAAGGGCAGAAAGGATCCTTTCAGATCATAAGATATTCAGTGATGTTGTTTAAGAAGGAGAACTAGAAGTGAGAAGATCCTCTTTTCAAAAGTATCATTTTCAATAGTGGCACAACTACACTGCAAATCTGAAAGAACCCCTCTGCATGTACATACATAATATACACCAAAACCAGGCTGCTCAATCCCGCACATTTAATTCAGGGTTTGAAACAGATCTTCTGTTCTAAATGTGTGCAGCTAGACTTTGAGCTGCTCTGATATAAACTGGTATGTCTCCATAAACTGCAGCAGAAGTACCCTGACTCACAACATTGGATGCTCTAGATCTCCCTGGTCAAGCCTGGGTAACTTCAATCTTAGGAATAAATAAGCTATTTATTACAATTAAGAATAAAAAAACAATATAATACAAAAACTTAGATGTAGCTCCTTGTATCTGTCTGACAACAAAGACAGCTTGGATCCCTTGTCTTATCTGTCACCGTTATCTGTTCACAAGAGAAGAGTAAGAAGAACTGGGTAATGTTCTTGGAAAAGACAGATGTAGTTGGACCTCACACTTTCTCTGATCACCAAAATCAGTTTGGAGTTGGAAGACATCCTCAAAAAAACCCTCTGAAAAAATTCTTCCAAGGTCAATGTTTAAACTGTGTGCCTAGAGTTTACAGAACAAAAAAGATTACAGCCTGAGAAATATAAAGCAAGCCCATGTTTGAACAACATTCTACTGCTCAGTGAAGTATGTCATATTTGGAAACCTATCTAGGTATTAATAATCTTTCTCACAATAATACTAACGCTAACACTAACACTAATACTACTACAACTAATAATAATGCTGCAATATAGTCCAAATCTATAAACCACTGACATGAATAGGCTGCTGGAATTAGTGATGGCTACTCATTAGTGCGAAACCTCTGAATCTGGAGTTTTCTCCGGGGTCCTGAGAGCCTGGACAAAATGCTGAGGGCTAGAACAAGGCATACATAGTTATTTCAGCCTTAATTGCAGAGTGCTGCAGGACAGAGACCTGAAGTTCTCCTCCCACATCAGAGGGTTTTCACTCAGTCAACCATCTAGGTCGTTTAAGGACATGTCAACACCATCCAGTGGAGTGTAGCTGAAAGATATCCATGCAAGTTGAGCCTGAACTAGTGCCAGCACTCTGCAGTGCTCTGTACAGCCACACCAGCATAGCAATGAACTTAAGCTAATAGCTCCCCTGGTGAATTATTGGACAAACAGAATTTTCTCAGCAGTGCTGCTCTAACAGGTCTATACTGCTTTTGCAGACAAATCCAGCACATATGTCAAGCATTGCAATGCCCCGTGTGGACACTCCTGCCTGCTCAGGTCTGGCTCAGGAGTTTCCGTAGTTTAGAAATATCCATTGAAAAAAGGAACATAAAGCTGCTCTGTTGCTTGGCAGATAGATTTAAGCAGCCTGTAATCTCTGCCCTTCTACTGCATCTACCTGCTAGGGACTGGCTGTTGTGTCTTGACAGTCTTGGCACATAAATACTATGCATATCCCATATTTAGAGATACAGACCAATAACTAGTACTGATTGCTGCCACATCTATCACAAAACCCTAGAGTAGGGTATGATGAGTGCATAGGGCCTGTATCAGCCCTTGGTAGGAAGAGAATGGAGCCATGTGAGGCATATGTAGGAAAAAAAATCCTCAGTTTCAGTTTTTCCTCCTTTCCAAGCATTGCCACCCTCATGGGATGAAAAGGGCAGGAAAAATCTGCAATGCTTATTTACTGTGTCGTTTACCTGCAATTGGTATTTATCAAAACAGATTTTGCAGCATGCAAACAGACACTTCTCCAGCACACATTTGGAGAGTACAGAAGGAAGAACAAATGTGCAAGATGAAGATGTAAAACCAAAAAAGTGGGAGCACCAAGGGAAGATAAGAAAGCAGTGACAAAACCAGCAACTCTATAAAGATGTTCTGCCCAGGACACCAGCTTCAGGCAGTCCTGACCTCTACAGACCCATAAGGAGCAAGGCTGGAAAGCAGTCCGAAGGCTGACACTGAGAAGAATTCCACTGCAGGTTAACCAGTTTTGAAAGCAGCTGCTCCTGGCAGAGGGCAGGCATGCTTTTTTTTCTACTGTTTTTGTTATGTGAGGATATTGTGACCATTGTGAGCCAAGTTCTGAAAGGCACTTTCTCTCATTGGGATCATGTCCTTATCCATCCCTGTTATGGAGGTATCCTCTCCCCTTTCCTATTGAGAGGAGCAGCCAATTCCTGCTTTGCTTTGAAAGGTTAATTTTCTTCTGTAATCATAATTATGCTGGCAAAGGTTGATGTGGCAGAGGAAAAATTAGTCTGGTATTTTCAGCCTATGGATTGTACTTATTTGGCACATGAGAGCATCTCTTTATCTGTGAGCTTCCTTGCCTGCTGATTCTATAAAAGGACCCCCTTGCTTTTTGGATTAGCCTACAATCAGGCAAAAGGTTAACAATTCAATCAGGTTGTTTATCTGGGACTTCTAGCACATGTAAAGCATCCTTAAGAGGATCCAATCCTGCAGCTCTTACCCAGGAAAAGCTCCCATGAGCTTCAAAGGGTGTTTTAGAAGAGCAATTAAAGTATGGATTCTCAGAGTCCAAAAAGGAAGCTCTCAGCAGAAATTCCCACTCCTGTGGTGAGACTAGGTTATGTTTGAGCTTGATTCCCTAGGAATTTTCTCAGGATCATTTCTAATAATGATCAACAATGAGAGCTTGGCTTTCCTCCATTTCATTATTTCCTTCTTTCTATGAATCTTATTCTGACTAAAGTAATATACAGGATTGTATAAGGAGGATTTTTGCCACAACTGTAAAGGTGAAGAATTTTTAAGCATAGAGGCTCATATATCACAAGATCTCAGATTACTTAAGTTCAGCTATCAATAAGTCAATGCTCAACAACTTTGTTCTTTCTCCAGAAAAACAACATCATAACTGAGAAACCTTACACACACAGAGTTACATCAAAATGCAATCTGTTCATTTGCATTTCTGACCCAAAGTGTCTGTTTGCCTTTATCACATCAAAGTATACGTCACACTTTTTATCTAACTAGATACATTGTAACACTGTGTGGCTGATTAGTCTCAAGGGGATAAAATTCAGTGAAACCTGCATTAGGTCAAGAATTTTCATCGTCTTCAGCGAGAACTGAAAGCCAAGGTCAGTGTCTATACTGTCGCACACTGCTGGGGACCCAGGGACGACAACACAGGTATACCAGTTGACACCAGCTGGTAACCTAGACATTAAAGTCCATGGTGGGATTCAGCTTGCCCTGAATTTAGAGGTGAGTTTCAGGTACAAATCTGGACACCTAATTTTAGGTATCTACAGTAACCTGTGTCTTTATATGAGCGAGGTGTCTGAACTCAACAGAGATCTGAGGTTGTCCACAGAGAGAGGTCAAGAAGCACTTGAGATGCTCTGCAGATCTGCATGGCACTAGCAGATAAGTCACACATCCTGAAGGAAACATGAACCATTCCTAGGAAGGTACTAGTAAGAGACTGGCTACACCAGGGCAAGTGACTGGGAAAGGTGGTACCCAAACACCTTGAAGAATCTGGGAATCATGCCCTGATCCTGTCCCAGTGCAATTAGCTTAAAATGCTGGCACTGACCATAGTAGGAACAGTATGGGGACCTGAAATCTCAGTGGTCTTCATGGATCGTTAACTCTGAGTTACACCTTTATGCTGCAAGGGATCAGGTAACTCCTGTGCTTGGAGACAGTGAGACTTCTGTCAGCTTGCCCTTTATATCCTCACTGACAGCTCGATGTGTTTCATTGCTAGCTCCAGTTCTTTCAAAACAAATGATATGAACTGAAAGATCTTACCACAGGATCCTCTGCCTGTTGTTGTGTTTTTTATGCATAACTTCTTATCTGTTCTTGATTATACCAGAGGAGGTTTATGAATATTTATGGTTAGAATTTATAATTTAATGCTGTACGTTTTCTGCTGATTAACTCAAGGACACTTCATTTCTTAAGATGCTTGGTTCCTGAAGAAAACACTTTCTGCTGGACACCTAATCTGAATCCTGAATATTTATCCACTATAAAAAGCCAGAGACAGATTTCTGTCTTCACAGGCAGCTTCACCCAGTGCACTGCAGCATGTGTAGGTTTGCCTAAGTTCCTTAAAAAATGGATCTGAATTCTTGAAACAAGCAGCCAAAGTAGTGTAAGGTATGTTTGTCTTCAAAAGCCATGCATAATTCAGCAGTCTCACTGCCACAACTTCAGATGTTGACAAGGAAGATATTTGATTTTTTTTTTTTTTAATTCTATGAGAGTAGAGGAAGTGAAGGGACAAATATTCACCTATTTCTTCACTCTGGGCTGTGGTGACCTTTCTCC